CAATTCTTCTTCTTTCTTTTTTTAAATTTTGTCACTGTTGAGAATGTACACAGCCACCACTCCCCAGTTCGACAGTTTCTCCATGTCCAGTTCAGTGGCGCTGGTGGCATCCTCTGAGCTGTGCAGCCCTTCTCACCCTCCTTTTCTGAGTTGTTCCTCCCCCGTGAGCATCAACTTCCTGCCCCCTGAGGTTCCTATCGAACCTTTCAAGTTGCTGTTGTCACTCTGATCCCATGGAGAAAGATCTTAAAAGAGCCCAGTGCCCAAGGCAGGCATTCTTGACTCGCTAAGCAAAACTATGGTTCAGTTTCAACATGACTTCTGGGCGTATTTTTGGTTTAAGGTTTACAGATTATCTCAGAGCAATAGTTTCAGGCCTTCCCTCCAGCCTCCACAACTCCAGAAAGTCTGGATTCCATGAGAATTTGAACTTTGTTCTGTATTTTCTCCTTTTGATCAGGATTCTTCTAGAGAGTCTTTGATCGCCATGTTCAGAAATGATAGCTCGTTTCTTGTTAATGACGTGTCGTTCACTCACCATCACTTGACCCTTGAAAGTGTGTAATTTCATGGTTTTTAGTATAATCACAAGGTCCTGCAAACATCACCTCTATCTAATTACAGAACATTTCATTACCCCCAAAAAAGAAACGTCATACCAGTGAGCAGTCCCTCCCCTTCCTCCATCCCCCCAACCACTGCTGTTGTCGTTAGGTGCCATTGAGTCGGTTCCAACTCATGGCAACTCCATGCACAAGAGAACAAAACACTGCCCCGTCCTGCACCAGCCGCACAATCACTGCTGTGGGTGAGCCCATCATTACAGCCTCCGTGTCAGTCCATCTCGTTGAGAGTCTACCCCTTTTTCGCTGACCCTCGACTTTACCAAACATGATCCCAGCCACTCATCTTCTTTCTGTCTCTATGGACAGTTCACACAAATGGGACCACACAGTATGTGGCCTCTGGTGCCTGGCTTCATTCACTCAGCTTCGTATTTTCAAGGCCCCTCCTGTTGGATGCAGGTCTCTATCCTTCATTCCTTTCTCTGGCTGAGTAATATTCCTCTGATGGATGGACCACATTTTGCTGATCCCAGGTGGAGAATATTGTGAACATCAGGCTAAGCTGCCTGTCAGTCAGGTTTCTCACCACATCCTCGTTGCCCGTGGATGGGTTCAACGGTGGTGCATGAATGAATGAGAGACACTTAGCATGCCGGAGCGGGCATGTAACAATTCCACAACAGCACCATCTGGCACTGGGAACGTTTGGATTAAAAGAAAAGCTCTCCGCCTCCCTTCTCTCCGCATACAGATCAGCCCCTTCATCAACGAGAACACCAGGCAGAAATTCCTCATTTACAGCGGCAGCAATTACCAGGGCCCCGGGGGCCTCGTGGACTACCTGGATAAGGACGTGATCCCCGACTTTCTGGGGGGCGAGTGCGTGGTAAGTTCGGCAGCTGGGGCTGCTGGGCTTGGCTGGTAAGCGGGAATGGTGGCTCGGGAACTTTGTCATCGCCTCTGGGTCCCTGATACCAGGGTTCCTGAGTCCCAGGACTGCAGCGTCCATACAGCCCCAGAGCACTGATCAGGCAACGATGTCTGCTTTTACCTGGGGTGGCCATCCTGGTTCCTTGAGGGACAGAGCTTGTATTAGAAGCGTCCCCAAACAGCGTGACTCCTTTCCGAGTATGTGACCTTATGCTGGTTCTTTCGAACACGAGAGAGACGGAAGTTTCAGGAAACCCGGCGCCGGCTCAGGGGTCGGCCAGGTGTCACTGAGTGCACGCCCACTCCTGGTGACGCCCTGGGTTGTGTGTCGGTGGAACTGTGCTCCGTGGATGAATTTTTGGAAATAGATAGTCCTGCCTTTTTTATGTGGTGTCTCTGGGTGGCTTTGAACCCCTAACCTTTCAGTTAGCAGCCGAGGTTGTCAACCAGGGCCACCAGGGATTCCGCCAAAGGTTTACCCATCCTCTTTCCCTCGCCAAGGCGTTGCTAAGCAGCCACCAGAGTTTATCTGCTTGTCCCACAGGGGCAGCGACTTAAATGTCCCAGCAGCCCAGCCCCCGGGCTGGTGTACCCACAGGACTCTGTCCCAGTGCACACCCACACCCCCGTGGGAGCACCACTCGGCTGCTTCAAGGGACACACCCCTTCCAGTGCCTCCTCTGGGGCTGGAACGATGGGGGAAGGGATCCTGTTCCTCTCTGACTGAACAGCAAGCGAGCAGAATTTCCAGTGAAAGACGACTTTTCATAGGAATGGGGCCAACCTTGCCTGCTCTCTGCACTTACTGTGATGCGTATGTATGGTTTAGTCTCAGCGAGTGGGCCTGCAGGTCTCAGAGTGACTGATCCAAGAGCGGTGGGCAGCAGTGGCACCTTGTGAATTCTGGTGTTTTCACAAGTGCAATGGGGCGGGGAGTACTCCGTCTAGCAACGGCAGGGTTTCTCCCGAGGGCCAGGGGATACAGGCTGCCTTTGGTATCTTACAACAGCGCACAACTGCCAGCAACGGAGGGAGAGACATGCCCCCAGGGGTGCAGGTGGAACAGGTTGCAGGCACAGGTGTTGTCAGCCCAACAAAGCCCGAAAGGACCAGGGAGCCTGGGAGTCCTACAAGCCTGGGTGTGCCTCCTGGCCAAGCCCCCTTCTGCTGTGTGATCTCGGGCGTGTCCTGACCTCTCTGAACCTCTATTTCCTCCTCTATAAACCTGGAGGAATAACAGCCCCTACCCCAGAGGTAGTTCCTGGGTCACGTGGAGCTATGAAAGCCCCGCTCATGGCTCAGTCCAGGGTAGCTGGGGGACCACTGGTGTTTCAGGGGCCGTAGAGTACCCTCTTGGGTCAGGCCCGGCCTGCCTGGCCCTTGACCCAACAGCTTTGGTCTTCCCTTTGGCTTTAAAAAGTGATGGCAGATTCACTAGAACACCGCACCATGCTGTGGACTGGATGGTGACCTGTGGCAATGCCGTGTGTGCGAGTGGAACTGCGTTCTGCAGGCTTTCCACAGCTGTGCTCGTATAACAAAGCTGGCCGTCTTAGCCATTTCTAAGTGCACGACTCAGTGGCATCCAATACATTCACCGTGTTGTGTGACCGTCACCGCCGTTTCCAGAACGTTTTCAACTCCTCAGACAGAAACCCCGGGCCCCTTAAGCACTAACCCCCGCCCCGTCCCCCAGCCCCGAGTAAGCACTGTGCTCCCTTCTGTCTCCGCGTTTGCCCATCATAGCTGTGTCACCTAAGTGGGACCACACCGTATGTGTCGACACCCTTTGCCTTTGTCTCTTAGTGTAACGTCCCCGAAGGAGGGCTGGTCCCCAAGTCCCTGTACCTGATGGAGGAGGAACATGGACATGGCAACCAGCTGCGGCAGTGGACTGAGACCTACCATTCGGCCAGTGTGCTCCGGGGGGCCCCCCACGAGGTGCTGGGTTTGGCCTGGGAGGACCTATTGGGCTGGCGGATGGCCTTAGGTTCCCCAATGCAGAGCCTGAGATAAGGATTCTTGTGCAAGTGACTGGCTGAGAGACAGCTCAGGGGGAGCCTGCGAGGGAGGCAGGGAGGCTGGGCCTGGGGAGGAATCTAAGGCAAGAGGTGCTTTCGGCCTCCACCCAGCCGCAGCCGGAGCCCACGGGGAGTAGTGGGAGCAGCCCCACAGAATGGCCAGGCCTGGAGGCAAGGGAGTGGCCTTCTGTAGCCTGTCCTGGTCAGTTGTTGGCTGTGGTCCGTCCCCAGGGGCAGGGTGGGAACTTCTAGACATTTCAGAGAGGTGGTTGCTTGTGCTCAGAGCAGTTCTGTGGACCAGGCGGCAGGTTAACCTCAGCGGCCCACACTCGGGAGTGACATGTGGGCCAGGGAAGGGATGGCAGCGCCTCCTCGGGCCGGCTTCCCCATCCCAGCCCTTCTCCTGGAGAGATGTGCACCCTCGGCCGTTGCTGTCTCTGCAGGTCACAGTGGAGATCCTGGAAGGCGAGTCAGTCATCACCTGGGACTTTGACATCCTGCAGGGGGACGTGGTGTTCAGCCTATACCACGCCAAGTGGGTGCCCCCGCTGGGCCCCCGGGAGCCTGGAGCCAGGGCCGGTGGGCAGCTGGCGGGTAATGGCTGGGTCCTGGGCACCGACTACAGCTGCGTCGAGGCGCCTCTCATCTGCCGGGAAGGGGAGAGCATTCAGGTGTGTGTTCTTCCGGCCACATGCTCACTCATCACACACTGCTCAGTGTCCCCTAGCTGCCAGGCTCTGAGGACACAGCAGTGACCAACGCAGTCGAGGTTCCTGGCCTCAGGGAGCCTGTGAGGCAGTGAGGGGAAGAAACATCACATACAAACCCACCCAGCCAAACGGCGGTCAAGGCAACGCAGCACATGTGCAGGGCACTGCTGAGAGTGGCAGCATGTCAACGGCGGAGAGGACCAGCTCTGGGGCCCTGGTTCTTTCCTCTGAGAAATGGGAGCCATAGCAATATCTAAGTGTCTTAGCTACTAGGGCAGCCATGGGAGTCCCTGGCTGGTGCAGATATTCACATCCTTGACTACTCACCACAAGGTTGGTTATTTGAAGCGACCCCAAGGCACCTCAGAACAGAGTCCTGGCAATCTGTTCCAAAAGGTGACAGCCTGAAAAGCCTTTGGAGCTCAGCTCTGCTCCACACGGAGTTGGAATCCACTCAACAGTGATTTTTTTTTTAATTTTTTTATTGCTACTGTTACAAAGTGCCACAAAATTAGGGGCTTAACCCAAGGGCGATGTATCCTCTCTCAGCCCCGGAGACCAGAGGTCTGAAGTCAGGGTGCTGGCAGGGCCGTGCGCTCACTGCAGGCTCCAGGGGTACCTTCCCTGCCCCTCCCGCTGCTGGCGATCCTTGGCCTTCCTTGGCTTGCAGATTCCTCACTCTGCCTCCATCTCCACATGGCCTTCTTCTCCTTGGGTCTCTCTTTTGGGTCTCAAATCTCCCTCTCCCTTCTCTTATTAAGACACCAGTCACACTAACCCTTGATGAGATCTGCAAAGACCCTATTTCCTAGTAAGGTCACGTTCTGGGGTTCATGTGGACGTGAACATCAGGGGACACTGCTCTACCAGTGGACAAAATTAGCTAAAAACGTGTCAAGTGCCCAGGACAGTGCTTGGCCCAAGGCACTGGTCCACTCTGAAAGTATCTGATAACCTTATCAACCACAGCCTCTCCAGAGGGCAGGGCATTGTACATGTGGGGAGGAAGGGACTGACCGGCAAAGATTTCCTGAGGTGGAGACATTGCCTTGAGTCCTGAAAGATGGAGTAGGAGTTTTCTAGAACCTTCTGAAGAGAGCAGAGAGCAGTGCATGAGATCAGGGGTAACTCACGTGTGGGGAAGTAGAGACCCTCTTGGGCTACAGTGACGTTAAGCAAGTAAGAGACTCAACCTCCATCATTGTTTGGGGTTGTCTCTGTTGGGCATGCCCAGGTCTCGGGCCATGGCCTCTTTCCACCAGGCCTGCGAGAGAGACCTGTGGTTGTGGGCACCACCAAGGATGGGCCGGGAGGAGATGTGTCTAAGAAGAAGGGCCGGGATCTGTGACAGCTTCTCTCCAAGAGTCTGACCTGGGCTGGGCCCTGGGAATGATGTCTGAGCAGAGACTTGTCAAACCAAAATAAACCCAGGCTCTGATGAGGGAAGGCGCTCCTCAGAAAGCAAGGGAGGGGACCATTTCAGCCGAGGGAAGAATCCGTTATAAAACATCCCACTGTTCAATCTGCAAGTGGCTCGAGAATTTTGGGAAAACTGTTTTTCTTCTGTTGAGCTGAGTTTGAGGTGTGACGGGAGATCACAGAAGGTCACAGGAGGCAGTTCTCCAGGAGGGGCGCTTCAGGAGGGAATGTATATGGCTTAGGCGGAGGCTGGGGGCAACGCTCAGGAATTTGGGGGAAGGAGGGACGCTTAACCCAAGTTTGGTGACCATGTACTTGGTTCCCACTGATGGCGAGATCAAGCAGTTCAGTGGTTCAATTATGAGGAAGGGTCTGGGTCTGGCCTTGTCATCGGTAAACAAGAGTCACCTGTGAGTCTCAAGCAGTAAGCCCTTTTCTGGAATCCGTGGGGTGGAGGGACTTTCTTAACCACTGCAGTTTCCACCAAAAAACCAAACTGAACCTACTGCCATTGAGTCGATTCCGACTATTGACCGTATAGGACAGAGTAGAACTGCCCCATGGGGTTTCCTAAGGCACTTGACTGCTAGCAGAAGGCTGGGGTTCAAACCCACCAGCCACTCCTCAGAAAGAAGATGGGGCAATCTACTTCCATAGTGATACCGCCTTGGAAACCCAAGGAGGGGTCGCTGTGAGTCAGATCCGACTTGATGGCAGTGAGTTTGGCTTTTTTGGAAATCTTTACGGAAGCAGACGGCCTCATCTTTCTCCTGTGGAGCGGCTGGTGGGTTCCAACTGCCCACCTTTTGGTTAGCAGCCAAGTGCTTTAACCACTATGCCACCAGAGCGCCTCACTGTTTCCACAGAGTTCAGTTAAAACCCAACATTATGAGACCAGAAGGATGAGGGGGGCTGCCATTGTGCAGATGGGGTACCACTCATTCCAGGGAGGGAGACTTGGGCTTGGCCCGGCGAGAGTAAGGAGAAGGAGGTACCCAGGGAACAAAATTTAAGGCAGTTCTGGTTCTCAGGATGGTGTGATACCACCTTAAATCCCAAGCCCCACCCACTCACCCTAGTCTGATGCGCAGTAGGGCTGCCCAGGGCCAGGCCTCAGGGATCAGGCTGCTGGAGAAGCCGGGAGGGTGACTCACCTAGGTTTTCAAAGCTCTCCTCCTCACCTCCTGGCGACCTCATGTGGGTCAGAGGAAGACTGTGGGCTCCACGGTGGCTCATTTGTCAAAAGTAGATCACCAAGCCTTCTGAGGCCCGTCTGGGTGCACTCGAACCTGCAACCTTTCTGTCAGCGGCAAGCACTTTACCCGGGTGCACTATCAGGGACTTGGCACACCAAGCAGGGCCCACTCGTCCACACGTGCCCCCGGAGCCCATGAGTACTCAGTCCCCAGCTTGGCCCGGAGGTGGGAGCCTGAGGCAGCTGCTGTGTTGCAGGGCTCCCACGTGACGCGCTGGCCTGGAGTCTACCTGCTGCGGTGGCAGATGCACAGGGCTCCAGGCAGCGTGGCCTGCAGCCTGCCCGGCGTGGACGACGTCCTCACCGCCCTGCACAGCCCCGGCCCCAAGTGCAAACTGCTCTACTACTATGAGGTGCTTGCATCCGAGGACTTCAGGTAGGGAGCAGGGGACAGGCCGACACATTCCTGAATACCTCTTCCAGGCTGGGGGTGTCAGGGGCACCTGACAGCTGGCTGAATATCCAGCTGCCCAGGCCCTTCATACAGCGAGTCATGAGCCTGTGGCAAGGGGGCCTGGCACAGGGAGGGGGCACGGAGAAAGTTCTGGGAGGCTTCCTGGAGGAAGTGACATGGGAGTTGTAAGTTGCCATCCAGGTGATTCCAATTCCAGGCACCTGATGCAGAGTAGGATGGCCCCATGGGGTTTTCAAGGCTGTGATGTTTCAGAAATAGATTGCCAGGCCTGTCTTCCAAGGTGGCTCTGGGTAGACTCGAACACCCAACCTTTTGGCTAAGAGTGGAGTGCTTAACTGTTTGAGCCACCCAGAGACTCTCACCCTTTGCTTAGTGAGGCCCTCGAGCTCGCTGTCCAGTATGAGGCTACTGGTAGCAATTTAAACCCACCATCAGAATTTATCAAAATAGAGCATTCAGTTCCTCAGTCATTCATACCAGTGCCTGGGAGTGCTGTGTGGCTTGTGGCTACACACTGGACAGACATGGAACATGTCCGTCCCTGCTGAGTTCTATACCAGCTGGTGCTGCTCTCAAGTTTGGAGTAAGAGTTAAACCTTAAAAGGGCAGGGGAGAAGGGGAGAAGGTGTTGCAACCTTGGGAGCAGCATGTGCAAAGGCCCTGAGGCTGGGGACAGCCAGGCACCAAGGGAGCTACCAGAGGCCATTCACTGATGGCTGACAGCAGGAGGGGTTGAGGCTGGAGGCAGGGCCAGGGGCTCTTCCAGGCTGTGCCCGGGTCAGTAGGAAGTGCCCTGAATGGTTAGAGCTGTTTGAGTAAGGTGTGGGGGGAGGGCTGGACGTCATTCCTCGTCATTGCGTCTCCTGCTCTTCCCTCTGCACTTGGCCTGGCCCTGGGTGGTTACCAGCCCTATGGGGCGAGCCCTGGGACCTCATTTGCAGCGTCAACAGCTTTCCCTCTGCTGTGGCCCTGCCCCAGAGCTGTGTCTCGGCCCCAGGGCTGTGTCACGACCGGCAGGTAACTCCGTGCCCTGCCCTGCCTCCCCAGGGGCTCCATGTCCAGCCTGGGATCCTGCACCAGCGGCTTCTCGCAGCTCAGCGCCACCACCTCCTCCTCCTCTGGCCAGTCCCACAGCAGCTCCCTTGGCTCCAGATAGCACCTCTTGTGGCCATCCGGAAGTGTCCAGAGCCAGAATCCAGTGGGTGCCAGGCCGGGGGTCACGCAGGCCGGTGACCTGGATCTAGATGCTGCCAGGGTCACCGTGTCTGCCATCTGAGCCTCTAGGTCTTGACTCTCAAGGCTGCAGGCGACTGAACTGTGTAATGAAGATCCAGGGGGTCGCTCTGAGCAGATGGGTCCATCTGGGTGTTGGGACTCAAGAGATGATGTCATCAGGGCTCGCCCTGCTCTCTCCACCTCTTGCTCTGCTTCCTCTTGAGTCCTCTTCCTTCTCAGGCAGGCCTTCCGCAGGCGAGGAACCCCTATCTCCGCTAGATCTCCCCCCCCCGCCCCCACCTCAGCTGCAGGAGAGAACTTCTCTCTCCCCAAAATCGTAGCCACCATCCTGCCCTGCAGTTGAGTCTCCTCAGCCTGACAGAGCCCTCTGGTGCGTTCCTCAGCCAATTAGTGTTGCCAGGAGAATGGAAAACACTGATTGGCTAGCAGCAGGGTCATGTGTCTAGGGTGTGTGTGCATTGATGGGCCAGCCTGAGTCACGTGCACACGCCAGGGGCCAACCACGTGGACTGAATGGGCAAATGGGTACCCCAGAGAGTAAAAGGGGAGGGGGTGCTTGCTAGTCACCGAGCATCTGACTCAATAGGTGATACCAGGGTCCTAAGTGTGTGTGGTTGAGCAGTTAGGAGTCATTGACTCTGCCTTTCCAGAGCTCTGCCGGGCAGGCCTAGCCTGGAGCATCCTTGATCTGAAGAGGGTAGGGGAGGTGCAGGGTTTCTGCCAAAGGTGAAGGAGCTGTGAGACATTCAGGTTGTCTCCCCACCCCTGCAGGCTCCTTTCTCTCCTTGATAGCAGTTTACTTACGACTTTTTTGATTGTAAGTCGCAGAGATGCATCTCCCAGGGTCTTAAGGAAAGGGTAGCCATTCATTGTTTCATGTAACTTATCTGAGGGGGCTTCAGGTACGGCTGGATCCAGCTCCCAGCTTGGTATCAGAACCTTCCTGCAGGAGGGAGCCTTTGACTTTGTTGTCTGTCCTGGGGCACATCTAACCCACAGAACCAACTGCAGCATTGACCTCAACTTTCCCCGTGTTCCTGAATGGGGATCTTGGGTTTCATAGGGGCCTTAGGGCCTTTCTCCCTTCATTTCCTGGGGCCCAAAGGAGGCAAAAGTTCAGAGGTCCCCTGCTAGCAGCCTGCGGTCTGATCTGCCTGCCCTTAGTTTGTTTTTTGCTCACAGAGTGATCCCCAAATTGGGAATTTTTACTTAGAATTCAGGGTTTGTAGCTTCTCTTAGGCATTTGAGTGTTGGCAAAACAGGGCCACCATGTCTGCATGAATGTAGCCAGCTGCAGCTCAGCACCTGCACCTCTGGCTGACACTGCCCCAGTCCCCATCCCTCTCTATTGCCTCATGCGCAGCCCACGTGCTCATTCACATCTGCCTGTAAAGGAAATACAGTTCCATCGGCAGCCTGGGCTGCAGTCTGGGGGCTGAGGGCTCAGCACCGCTGTTATCTCTGTAGCCTGGGACATGGGGACTGTCTGTGGCCAACACCAGAGTCACCGGGCCTTGCACAAGGGGATTGTCACCTCATCACAGGCTCGCTGTTACGGGACAAGGAGAGCCAGGGCTTCCATAGCGACCTCAACCCAAACCCCAGAGTAGAGGCCATTCTTGGCAGAGACAGCTTCCTCCCGGCGGGGAGGGAGCCTCACCGAGCTTTCTGGTGGCTCTTATTCTGCGTCTCAGGCTTTCGAACAAACCCATCACTGTGCCCTGCTTCGAGGTGTATGCGTGACTGCGTTGTGTGCATGCAAGACTGTGAGACTGGAGGGAGGCGTTCTCAGGACGGGCTGCACCCACATCACGGGGCGTTTACGGCTGAGAGCCATGTGCGATGCTGGAAGCTCTCCTGTGCTGGATCTCTAGGTTGCTGCTGACAACCAGGGGCCCTCCTAGAGGCGTTTCAGAATCAGCTGCTTGGGCACTTTCAGCTCTCTGGCTCCAGAGGGTGGCCAAGGTCTCCCTCTCCCCATCCAGCAGAGGCTATAAGCATGGGAGCTGCTCTTAGCGCCCTCGTGTGGTCTCTGCCTGGAGGTGGGCATTTGAAGGGCCTGTGTTAGGGACACTGGGGTCTCTGAGAACATGCATAATCAGTTGCTCTCACTGCATTTATTGTCAAGGACCAGGGCTCAGAGAGGGAGGGAGGAGGCTTTCCTTGACTTGGGGTTGCAACTGGCTTTTCATAACTGAGGGAACCTGGATCTGTGGCTTCCATGGGGGGGGGGGGCGTCTGCTGTCGTCAAGGCAGTGACAGCACGGATGAGGGACCTTAGGCCCCTTTACCACTCCTCCTGAGAGTTCTCTCTCCCCTAGGGAGAAACCCACTCACACTGACTTAAGCCAAGCAGGGAAGACACTGGCTCCTGCAACTGGAAGGGCTAGGTGTGCTTCAGGTATGGCTGGATCCAGGAGCCCAAAGTCATCAGGGCTCAGTCTCATCCCTGCATGTTTTGCACATGGCCTTCCTTCTCTTCCTCCTATGGTTCCTGGCAGCCCCAAGCCTACAACCACATGGCTCAGGACCTCAAAGGCAGAGAGGTGCTCTCTTCTCCTTGTCAAAGCTCACAGAAAGGCTCTGGTTGGCCCTGCTTCAGCCACCTGCTTACTCCTGCGGGGCTCATATGGGCCAAGGGGCTGGGGGACCTGTGACTGACATTCCCCCTAGAGGGGGATGGGGAGGGTCAGGCCCCAGTGGATGAGGGGAGCGGGGCCACACCACCAGCAGGTGCCCGTTGCAGTGTCTATGCTTGTGGGTCTTGGCAGCCCACTGAAGCTTCATCGGCAACCCTTCCTCTCGCCTTTGGGAGGCTTGGAATTAAGACCCCAAAGTCCAGGCTGCCCAACTTCTGGCTCTTAGATACCCCCGGCCCCAGGGGCTGGAAGCTCCTTGGGTTGACTCCTTTCTTTATCTCGCTCATTGCTCTATTACGGCCAAAGCAGCAGTAGCAGTAACAACTCCTAGCTACAACCCCCTGCCCAGCTCTGTGGTTTCATGGAGCCTGGGTGGTGAACTTCAAAGGGGTGGGCCTCAGTCCCCAGTCTCCCTTTCACTCGCTGTGCACAATGAGCCCGTGACTTAACCTCTCTGTGCCTCAGTTTCCTCCTCTGTAAAATGGGGACAGCAGTGCCTACCTCATTGGGTTGCAGTGGGACCAAGTGAGACCGCAGCTGTGGAGGGCTTAGCACAGTGCAGAGCACGCAGGAGGCGCTCAGTGACTGCCAGCCGTTACTCAGATTATTTGATGCTTCTCAACCGAAGATTCCAGCGTCCTTCCCAAGGATACTTGTCACTGTTTTCACAAGACAGAAGGGCTCAGAGCTGCGTAGGCCCAGGGAATTGTGGGTGTGAAGCTATTATTTCCCTCTTAGTTGGGTGGGCAGTCAAATTCTCCTTTCTGCAAGCAGCCTGCATTTTCTGGAATCTTCCACAAAGCCACTACCCCAAAGAGCACTCTGAGCAGCGTCTCCCCGACCAGTGAGAGAACATTTCCTCCAAGGGCTGGAATAAGGGGAGTTTGCGACTGGGTTCCTACTCTGAACTCACTGGCATTTTTTCCCTCTGTGACATTAACTGTCCACAAAGTCTGTTTCAGCTGGTAAAATGTGATGTTTCTTACGTAATGTTACTTACTTGCTCCAACTAGAAGCATTAAACATTTTAGATTTGGATGTGGCTCTTGTCTGTTTCCTAAACCCTGAAGGTTTTCTTGGGCTGCTCAGGAAAGGCTTAGATGTTCAGAAGGCTAGAGGGTACTAAGCAGGGGCGACAGCGCCCCCAAGGGGTCAAAATCCGGGTCTGGGTGGGAGTGGGGGTGGGGATCTTACTCTTGTTCCGGACAAAGCCGGGTTCAGGGACATCAACAGATACACAGGCAGAGTATCAGGAATACTCAAATTCAATGCTGGGAGGTGTGACTAGGAATTACAAATAAAAACAATAAACCAGTTGCAATCCAGCTGAGTGGAATGGTGTCCCCTGTGGGTCAGAGTAGAAGTTCACGCCCTGGGGTTGTCAATGGCTGTTTTCAGAAGTAGACAGCCAGCCCTTTCTTCCAAGTCTCCTCTGGTTAGACTTGAACTGCCAACCTGTTGGTTAGCAGCTGGGGAGGGGGGATTTTTAAAGAAAGGTAGAGAGGCATTGCTCTAGAATGTCATCCATTGACTCAGCTCCTTAAATAACCACCAAGCCATCTGCTGCTGTGACCACTGTGACAGCCGGGGGCCACACCGACGTCACCAGGAGCAGCCCTCTTCCCAGTGTGGCCCTGGATTGCCTGCGACAGACTCACTCGGGCCCCTTGTTTAAAATGCAGGTTCCTGGGGCCCAGTCGGTGCTGCTGACTAGGAGTCGTGGGCAGTTTCTGGAATCTCCTGTGCAGGCCTCCGTCTTTCGCAGGCCGCTCGGCCGTTTGATGTCGCATCCCTGGCACGGTGCTGAGGGTTTGTCCAGGTGCCGCCTGCACTTCCTGGGAGCCCGTGGGGCCTGGGGAGGGGTGCTGGCTGCCACACAGATCACCTGATCCTTGGAGCAGGGCAGGGGGGGAACAAACGTTATGTGGGTGAGGAGGGGAGGTGTGGTTCCTTTGTATGGTGGCATAGGGTTACCTGTCCACATCTGTTTACACCTGTCTGCACCAGTTTCTGTTACCCGGCCCTACCTAACACATCCAATCCAGCACAAGGAACCATCACCTGCTCCAATGCAATGCAGTCATTTCCCATGGGTGCTCACAGGTCTCTCTAGCTGTGGGTGCTAGAGAAACAGTTGACGTGTGGTGCCACCCGTCAGGGCATGACCGAGCCACCTGGGGCAGGTGCCACCAGAACAGGTCACTGCTGACGTGGTTCTCCGCCAGGGGTGCCTCCTGGGGTCTGGGCCCGGATGGCACAATGTGCCCCGGAGACTGCTTCAGTGACAGGTTCTTCCTCTGGGTGGGGTCTGACGCAGACCTCTGGGGCACCAGGAGGCAGCCTTACGGCAGAAGGGGCAGGGCCTGGAAGGAGGGGCGCTGGGTAGCTCTCAGGGGTGCCAGAGGGCTGAGGCCTCAAGCCTCTCCCCAGTCATCTCCCTGCCCGCTGCCCTCTGCCCTCCCCCACCTCCTGGGGCATCTCTGAGGAATATGATTCTCCAACCGGCACAAACTAAAACCTCTGATTGAACAGTTTTCTGGGGCCAAGATTTTTCTGGGACTGAGAATCTGATGGAAGTTGTGGACCACCACACATGCAGGCACACACACATGCATGTGTACACATGTGCACACAGGCACATTTGTGCATATGCACACTTATGCATGTGTGTGCACCTGTGAACATCCAGGCACACACATGCACACACTTGTATTCCATTTCAAGTCTTTCAAGAGACCCTGAAAGCACACCCACTGCCCCCAGGATCAAACCTTTCTTTGGGTCTTTCCCAATACCTGTTTCACGAAGAACATGCCTGCGGCGGAGACGTGTGTTGGCGTGGGATCCGCCCGGCACACAGAACTTCTGCCGTCGAGCCTCCCGACCCACTCTGTGCCCCAGCTGATGGCTGGTAGATCAGCGCGCCAGCTGCCGTGCTCTCGTGGTGCAGCTCTGGGACGAGCTGTGCACACTCTCCACAGGCCTCAGTGGCCCTGAGCCCCAGCTGCCCCCAGCAACGACCCACGCACTGATACGCCGTTGGCTACCTTCTCTTCCCACCTCAGTTGCCCGCTGCCCGACCTGTGCGCCCTGGAATGCATCTCAGATGCCCTCCTTGCACTCACATCCTTGTCTCAGGCCCTGCTTCCGGGGGACCCAGACTCAGACTGGCTGCTACAGAAGGAAGAGGGGTTGGGTGCTGGGCAGGCGGCAGCGAGAGCTACTCCTAGCTGTGGCGTCCGTTCCGACTCGTGGCGAACCTGAGTGTCCACAGCAGGACTGTGCGCCACAGCCACCTTTCAGGCACCGGATGCCAGAACGTTCTTCCAAGGGTCCTCTGGTGGATGTGAACCTCCAACCTTTCAGTTCATAACCAAACTCATTAACCATTTGCACTACTGTTAGGCTCCTTGATAGTCTCATGACAGATTAAAAAAAAAAAATTCCGTGGGGCCACAGGGAGAGTGAGTGTGGGTGGGACCCACACCCTCTTGTGTGCCGTGATGAACCCTCTCCAGGCACCACATGCTCGCTCCGGGCCCGGACTCAGAAGCTGACACACAGGACGCTAGCTCTTCCAACTTGGCCACCAGCTCAGTAGAGGACAGAGTTGTAGAATCCAGGGTGACGGATTCCACAGCCCATCCCTGGGGCTGCTGCCTCTGCACCCCGGGATTCTCAGGGAGTCCTCCCTCCCTGAGATTCAAATTCAGGGGTTTGTATGGGGGCTCCGAAGCCTGCCCTTTCAGAACATTCCAGGGAATACGTTCTGACGTGCAGCCAGCCTTGGGAATAGCTGCTGTCTTAGGAACATGTTGAAGGGGTGCTAAGTTGCCTGGGAAGTGGTCTGAAGCTCTTTGGTGGTTTCTTGCACCTGAACTTGGGAGCACAACATCAGCGTACCAAGGGGCAGCTTTATTCATGAAAATAAACCAAAATACACAATGGCATTTCTCGCTGGAGTTTCAACACAAAGTGCCTGGAGGAACACATGGACGTGGTGGTTTACGTTTCTGGAAATAAATGAAAACTTCAAGCATTCACAACTGATGGAGACACACGATGTGGTTGGTCTGGGGGAACCCCTGAGACTGTGGCCCTGAGACATTAGTTAAGCCTGCAACTGAACTCACCTTGTGCTCACCTTTCAACCAAACAACAGGCCTATGGGGTGAACAGTGACACCAGGGAGGGACACACTCCTTAGTACAATCAACTTATGAGGTCAAAAGGGGGATATTTGCCCAGGAAGAAAGCTAAGGAGGTAAGAAGGGACAGAAAAGAGGGTGAAGGGAAATGGAAAACGCAAGGAGGAAGTGGGAAGAGAGCTGCTACCTTGTGAGCACTGCAATGAATGGCACGAAACAAAGTGTGGATGAGCTGCTGGATGGGAAACCAATTTGCTCTGTAAAATTTCACCCAAACCACAACTGAGAAACAAACAATAGCCTTTTAAAAACGAAAGAGTGGTTTGCCCATATCGTGGAATATTATTCGGCCACAAAGAGGAATGAAGTTCTGGTCCATGCTATGCCATGGATGATCCTTGAAAACATCATGCTGAGTGAAATGAGTCCGACACAAAAGGGCACAAGCTGCATGATGCCCCTTCCATGAAATGGGTCCCAGCACACCCTCTCAGGACCCTGGATCTCCCTCTAAAAAGGAAACCAGGGCCCTGGAGTTCTTCACGAATGTCTGGCTTTGTCATTGTTGGTGACCAACTTACATTTTATAAAAATACTTGGGTGGTTAAACCTTAAGCCAAAATATCTCCCAAAGTCCTCTTAAAATGAAACACTCATTTGGCTTCACTAGTAAAAACCTTCTGCCTTGAGCAGTGTGCTCTTGTAAGAACTATTTACACGGATCCAGTTGACAACAGCAGCCCAAAAGGTTAGATAGGAAACTCAGGGACAGTGAGTTGATGTCAGTGGGGAGGAGCAACTCCAAAAACGAGGGTGAGAAAGGCTGTATGAGTCGAAGGACATCATTAATGTCACTAAATGGCACGTGCACAAACTGTTGCATTGTCTGTTTTGCTGTGTACATTCTCAACAGTGAAATAAATGAAATTTAAAAAACAAAACTGTGTGGACTAAACGCTTGCTTCTCAAAGTGTGGTCCATGGGCCAGCTGCATCAGCGTTGCCCAGGAGCCTCCCAGAAACGCAGCTCCTGATGCCCATCCCAGGCTGCATTTTAATACATGCTCTGGGTGATCTGTGCACCCATTCTGTTCATGCCACACAGGTGGACCTCACAAACGTCATGTTGAGTGAAATAAGCCAGTCATGCAAGCCAGAAAAGCACTGCATTGAATACACCAGGGAGCCGCATGGGGCTTGGGGCAGCCCACATCTGCTGTAAGAGTCTTGAGGTTCAGGTGAACACGTGTGCCTAGGATGGTTGGGGATTTTTCTACCTACCATGTACGTGCTCCATGTATATTCATATAAATAACAGAGCACACAGGGGCCACAGGTATGCAAACTCCTTAGACATAACCAAACACTTCTTGGGACTGAGCTGTAGGGGTTGGAGGGTAAGCACCATAGATTCGGGGGGGCAGCTAGATCCACTGGTGGAACATGGCACATGGACTGTGATCTCCATCCATCCATGTGGCGAGTAGCATCCGGGGCCTTAAAAAAATAAAGGAGAGTAAATACAACCAAAGAGCTGAGGAAGCAGTTGGTCCAAAGAGCTCCTGGTCTACATGAACCAGCCTCCTCTAGCCTGAGACCAGAGGAACTAGATGGTGCCCGGCTACCACTACTGACTGCTCTGACCAGGGACACGATAGAAGGCCCCAGTTAGAAGGGCAGAAAAATGTAGAACAAAATTCAAATTTCTATAAAAACAAGACTTACTGGTCAGATGGAGACTGGAGGAGCCAAGACTATTGCCTTAAGTCACCCTTCTAATGTGGAACTGAAGTCACTCCTGGAGTCCGCCTCTAAACCAAAGACTGGCCAATAAAACAGTATCACCCATGAGGAATGTACTCCTCAGAACCATCAACATGGGCAGACCAGAAGGGCACCATTTGCCGAAAAACAAAGACGAGAAGGCAGGGAGGGGTGGGGAAACCAGACGAGTGGCACCAGGGAACCCAGGGTGGAAACGGGGCGAGTGCTGTCACACTGGGGATTGCATCAATGTCACGGAACAACGTGTGTATGGATAATTCAACAGAAAACTAATCTGCTATGAAAGCTTCCACCTAAAGCACAATAAAATGTTCAAAAAAATCCAGGCTGAGACCTACAAAACCAAAAGGAAACCCATTGCTGTTGCCCACGACAACCCCATGTGGTACAGAGCAGTACTGCTCCGCAGGGTTTTCTCTATGGAAGGAGCCCTGTGGCACAGCAGTTAAGTCCCCAGCTGCTAACCGAAAGGCTGCTGGTTTGAACCCACCAGCCACTCTGTGGAAGAAAGATGTGGTAGTCTGCTCCTATGAAGATTTACAGCCTTGGAAACCCTACGGGGCAGTTCTACCCTGTCTCATACGTTGCCATGACTTGAATCAAATCAATGGCAGGGGGTTAGGTTATTTTTCAATCTTTATGGAAGCAGACCTCCAGGCCTTCCTTCTGTGGTACTGCGGGGTGGGTATGAACCGCCATCCTGCCAGCAGCTGAACACAAACCATTTACACGATCCACAGAACCTGGTAAGGCCTTAGAGGGCCCCGTCCATGACCCAGGATCTCGACACCACCTGGTGGCTCCTTTTATTATAGCAATTTATTCAAGTCAGAAAACTCTCGGTGCAGGGCAAAATAAAAAGTTTGTAAACATGATTTCTCCTGCCCCCGGTCCCTTCTTCTAAGGAGCCTGCTACAACAGGAAGTAGAATTCCAGGTTGGCAGATTCGGTGATGAGGTCAGTAGGCGGCCGGGAAGGCTGAGACTCGTCAAGGGAGCCGGCTGAGATCTGCCACTTGGCCGTGATCTGGTCACAGGAGGTCAGCCGCCAGTGGCCCCTGCTCTAGCAGGCTGGAGACTCTTCGGCATGGGGGCAGGGCAGCAGACACAGACGGGTGGGCAGGAGGCGGAGCCTCTCTGGGGAAGGAGGTGTTGCTGAGGGTTCATGTCCCTGAGCCGGAGGACAGGTGCGGGGCTGAGGCATGGGGGACACCAGGTCACGTCCATGCCAGTGGCCTTGGAATGTCCCCTGCAGCTGCCAGAGCATGTGGACTGAGTCTTCAGGATGAAGTCAGGGGCAGCCTGAGGTGTCATTCCTGGAAGGGGCCACGAGTGCCTCGCAGCTGCTTCTCCTCCGTTGCATGAGCTCCCCGTTCATCTCGTGCAGCGGCTGGTACACGTAACCGCCGTCCAGGTGCCGGTTCCGCTCCGCCCTTGAGCCGCGGAGCAGGGTCACGTTCACCGCCGTGCTCAGCAGCAGCAGGGACACCAGGGTCAGCGTGAGGGCCAGCCAGGTGGTCCTGAGAGAAACACCCAACAGAGAGGGGGTTGATTAGGCCCACGTGGGGCTGTGGCTGTTCCCAACCAGAACAGGGTCACAAAGTCAGGGGCCTCCCAGGGCCACAGAGGTAACACCAATGAGCAGAACGGGCTGGAAAGGACTCCAGCTCACTGTCCACACACGTTCAGGGGCCAGGGCCAGTGACAATGTGTACGCAGGCCCCCTGGTGCCACATCTCACAGTTCAATGATCACTGCTGTTAGCTGCCATCAAGCCGGCCCCTGACTCACGGTGACCCTGTATGTCACCACGTGAATAGAACTGCTCCATAGGTTTTCTGGACTGTCACCTTTATGGCTCATGGCAAGGCCATGAGCATTCGCTTATTCCTGTTATTTCATAAAAGTGGGCTCATATTCATCCTTTCGTGACGGACTCATTTCACTCAGCATCATACTGGTTTCATTTGCGTTTTGTAATCGCTTCTCTTGAAATTACCCCGGGTGGGCAGCACGAGAGGTATGCCACCGGTTGCTAACTCAGAGGTTGGCGGTTTGAACCCACCCAGCAGCTCTGAAAAGCCAGACACTGAAAACCCTGGGGAGTACAGTTCTACTGGGATGCACTAGGGGGCGCCGTAAGCCAGCACTGACTCCACAGCAGCTGGTTCCCTCTGGTGGAGGCTGGGGGGGGCCCAGGTCTGCAGGGCACAGGGCCTTGGGGAGCCTGTGAAACACGCAGTTCCAGGGTACGATCACCAGGGCCGAGCCTCCAGGACCGGCTGCATTTGTGAGGTGTCTCCCCATGATGCCTCTAGACCCACGTCTGATTCACACCTACTCTGGACCCACCTCCAGGGCCCGGGCCACCACAGGCCAGAGCCTGAGGACACAGGTTCTCAAAGCAGGTCTGCATTGCCTGAGACTGTTTGGAATACAGCCTTCTGGGGTTCCAGCCAGAGCCACTGAGGCAGAAACTCTGGGATGGGGTGGGCCTCGCAGGGCGTCAGGTTGGAGATCCCCCACCCCGTCTCAACACCCGACCCCTTCAGGTCTCAGCGTTTCTGCTCTGGGCGAAGCAGGTCGGAGTCGCTGTGGCCAAGGAAGCCAAGCCCTTGGCCTCCCCCTCGATAATGGGCCTGGGCTTCCCCAGCTGCCGGCCTGGACAGCAGGTGCCTGCAAGCCTCAGTGGGGGTGACTGTCCCTGCGCTATGTCAGAGAACCACACCCTGGAGGCCCGACGCTGCCTCCAGCCTTCCTCAGGCCTCTGGGAGAGGCCCTCCTGGGGGTTGGGCTGCTCCTAACCCCGCCTGGCTCCCCAAAAGCCAACCTACCCAGTGAAAAAGGAGAGTTCTTGTGTCCTCAGGGTGGCCTCAGGTGACAGGAAACACTGCTTCACTGTAAAACAGAGAGAGGCTAAGGGGGCCCCAGGGGCTGCCTCGCCGCCCCCCAAGGCCGGGGGTGGGCCGCACCTGGAGGAGTGCGTACCTCGGGAGAGGAGGCTGGTCATGGCCGGTGTCCCGCTGAGGCTGCAGTTGCCAGTGTGGGGGTTGCAGGGACACTGGTGCTCACACTCACAGGGGCTCTGGCAGCCGGGCCCGTACCAGCCCAGGGGACACTCTGTAAGGGGGCACGGAAGATGGTCACGTTCTCCCGCACGCACCGTGGGGCAGGTGTGTGCACAGCAGGTAGCAACGGCAGGTGACCCCTCCAAGGAGGCCGGAGAAGCCCCTTTCTGCCCCCAGGCCAAGCTGTAGGTGCCCCTGGGTCCTCCGGGGCTTACCCTGCGCGCAGACGGCCCCAGTGAAGCCAGGGGGACAGATGCAGGCTCCATGAACTGGGTCACAGGCAGCTCCGTTCTGGCACTGGCACTTCTGGGCACAGTCCTCCCCAAAGGAGCCATTGGTGCAAGCTGCAATGGGAAAGGGGGTCTTTGCAAAACCCAGCCTGCCCCCTCCAAGGCTGGGGGGCCCTTGAGGTTTGCAACAGCATCTCAGCCACCCCCGAGGGGCTGCAGGCTCCTCTGTTGACCAGCAGAGTTACTGAGAACCTTCCATGCACCAGGGCCCGAGGGCTCCATGGGGACAGGACACAGGCTCAGCTCCCACAGAGCTTACAGTGTGGGAGGGGAGACCGCACAAGTCAGTACGCTGACAACACAGTGCACGAACGGACCACTGCTGGAGAGGCATGCGCGGAGTGTGGCAGCAGCTGCTGGGGGGACCGGGGACACGCAGCTCAGCAAGGGGAGGCTGCCCTGTGGAGGCGACATCATGCTGTGGCTTGGGGGTGCGAGACCTGAGGGAACAGCAGCCATGGAAGCAAGAATAAGAGACGGGAAGAGAAATGTGGGAAATCGCTCACCCTGTTTGAAGATCCAAGGCCAAGGAGGCCTGCGGGGCACAGGGGTCATGTGGGCAGAGCCAGGCTGGAAAAGCAGGGCGGGGGGAGGGGTTTGTGTGGAGCGTGCAGGGACACAGGGTCGGGCAGGCCACACGGAGGAGACGGGATTTCCATAAAGTGCAAAATACAACCACCGAAGGGTTAAGCTGTAGGTAGTTTAGTGGGTTGAAGAGTGTCTCAAAAGATGCACCAAAGTCCTAACTCCGGGGACAGACTGTTAGGGTCCAGATGAGTCAATTCCAACTCCTGCCGATCCCACAAGTTACAAAGCAGAACTGTGCCCCGCAGGGTTTTCTAGGCTCTAATCATCTGGGAGCTCTGGTAGCGTAGTGCCTAAGGCACTTGACTGCTAACCAGGAGGCTGGAGGGTCAAACCCACCAGCCACTCCTCGGAAGGAAGATGGGGCAATCTACTTCCATAGTGATACTGCCTCGGAAACCCAAGGAAGGGTCGCTATGAGTCGGATCCAACTCAACAGCACATAACAACAACAGCAACAATCATTACGGGAGCAGAGCCACTGGGTGTGTTTGAACCACCGATCTTTTGGTTAGCAGCCCAATGCATAACTGTTGTGCCACCAGGGCTCTGTGGAGTGCAGGTCAATGTGGCTTATTTGCAAATAGGATTTTTTCAGCTCTAATTAAGCTGAAGACCTGGAGATGAGGTCATCTGGATCCTGGGTGGGCCCTAAATCCAATGACTGGTGTCCTGTTAAGACAAGCTCGTGGTGACCCCATATGTGTCCTAGAACCGTGCTCCAGGAGAGGGCAAATTTGACTTGGGCTTCTCTGGCTCAGTCATGGCCAATGCAGTGAAATCAGAAGAGACTCAGATTAGTACAACGTGGGCATACCAGAGCACTGACTGGAATGAGATCAGTGACGCCTGAAGCCCTGGAATGAGGGACTGGGAAGAGGTGCAGTGAGCCCCTTCAGGAGTCAGATGCAAGAGACTGGAGCACTGCCAGGAGCCTGCAGAGGGACATACAAAGTGGTACTGTGAGCTGCCGTCTTTGAGACGGACACCACTGTTTCTGACTCTGCTGATTAAGAGATCTGACTGCTGCACACGCTGCCCTTGTTCTCTAAGCAGGAGGTTAAGTTTCCAGTAGGGCATCACCTGTAATTTTTCCTGTTCCAGTCATTGCTCTGGTATATCCACATTTTACAAATTCAGGTTCGTGCCGGTGCTGCACTGTTGGCTATGACTAAACCAGGGAGAACCGGTTTGAAGCTCTGGGTCTGACACAGAGACACACACAGAAGAGGTTTTGTGAAGATGGAGGCCAGACTGGAGCAATGGCGCCCAAAGCCAAGAAACACCTGGAGCCGTCAGAGGCTGAAGGAGACAAGGAAGGATTCTTCCCCGGGCTTTCAGGAGGGCAGGCCTGCCAGTTTTGGACTTCCTGCTTCCAGAACTCTGAGAGAATAAAGGGCTGTTGTTCGGTGGCGATTTGCTGAGGCAACCCCAGGATACTCAGTGATTACATGGATGGCAAGAGATAAAACACCTGCTTCCGAATGGGAAGCAGACATGCTGCCCCCACCTCCACCACCACCAAGAGGAGTAAAGGCAGCCCTGCCCCCTGCCCCATATGTCCCAGGCCAGCCTTTTACCTTTACTGCAGTTGGACCCGGTCCATCCGGCTTGGCAGCGGCAGCCGGCTGCAAAGACAACACCAAGAGGGCAGGTGAGGGCCCATACAGGGCCGGGGCAGCGAGGGCTGGCAGCCACCTCCCCTGAACCCCCACTCACTCTCGGTGCAGAACCCGCGGCCACTGCAGTTGGAGGGGCCACAGTCCAGCTCATCGCAGGCCCCGCCCCGCCAGAAGCGCCCCGTGCACTGGCAGCTGCCCTGAAAGCAGGTCCCGTGGCCGCTGCAGTTGGACGGCTGGCAGCGGGGCTCATGCACACATACCACGGTGGACACGCGGCGGGGACAGCGCCACATGTTGTCCTCGCTGCGGTGGAAGGACTGTGTGAGGAGAGGCGAGGTGCTGGCCACCCCCTCCTGCAGCCCGTGGGGCCCGATTCCTTCCTGCCTGCCTCTCCATTCTCACTTCTCTGGCCTTTTACGGGTTCCTGAGGCCCAGGTGGTGCAAACAGTTAACGCATTCCAGCCAGAGGTGCCTCAAAAGAAAGCCCTGGTGATCTCTTTTGAAGAACTCAGTGACTGAAAAGCCCACAGAGCAACCTGAAGAATGTCTGCAACGTCACAGAATGGTGTATGGAGAAGCTGCCAACTTGGTGTATGTGCTGGTGCGTACATTCTCACCACTGCCACTGAACGGACCCCTTATGGAGCTCGGTTCTGGGACACATACGGGGTCACCACGAGCTGGAGTCGATGACAGCATCTGGTTCTTTGGTTTGCACCCGTCACCCTTCCTTGTACCACAGGATCTCTGTACGCTGTCCCTGTTGCCTGGCAACACCTCTTCCTAGCCACCTCCTCCTCCTGCAGTCTCCTCATGGGGGGTGTCTTTCCTGCCCCATCACCCCCTTGGGTTGACTGCGTGGGTTGCTAGCTTTGTTGCTAACCGCCCTCGAGCTGGCTCCAGGTCAAGGAAGCCCCAGCCACGACAGGACACCGCCCACTCCTGTGACTGGCTGTGGACTGGGGCACTGGGATCACAGGGTCTCCAATGGCTGACTGTCTCACAAGCAGACCACGAGGTCCTTCGTCCGAGTTTGTGTTCGTCTGAGAAACCTGTTCGGCATCTCAGCAACACGCAAGGCTCCCCTGGCAGAGGGATGGGGCTGCAACAAGGTGCTGTGGCTGGGAACTCGGCTCTCCCGTACGGAAGGCGAGAATTCCACCACGCACCCAGCAAAAACCTCTCTGTGGAACGTGGGTACCAGTACACTAGGAGCACCTCACACACGCTGTGAGCAGTGGAAGTGGTAACGGCTTGTTCTGCTCCCTCTGTCACCAGAGCCTAGCACGTGCTGCTGTTTCTGTTCTTAGGTGCCGTCTGCCCACAAAAAACAGATCAAAACACTGCCAACCTCACAGTCCCTGCTATGTTTGAGCTCATCACTGCAGACACCGTGTCAGTCCGTCTCGTTGGGAGTCCATCTCTTTTTCACTGGCCTTCTACTTTACTAAGCTTAATGTCTCTCCAGGGACTGGTCCGTGGCACACAGCGGATAACATTTGAGGAGGAGGAGGCAGTCGGGGCAGGGAATCCCCACTGGGACGATGGGTTTTGGCAGACCTAGGCTGGACCCTCACAAACGGGGGCTCTGGTGGGCTTACCAGTGATCAGACGGGTAACTGGCCAAGGTCCCGTTGAGCACGAACGTGGCAGAGCCGCCTCCATCCAGGTTGATGGCGTTGACCACACCCTGCCTCAACAGGAACTCTGCCATCTCCCACAGGTTGATGCTGCCGTAAACACAGCGCTGGCTAACCACCAAGGTCACCACTGCATCCAGTTTAACTAGTCGGACTTTCAACAGGGGCTGGTGTCGCACCCACTATGGGAGGCAGATTTCTAAACGGACCCCAATACATCCCATTCTGACCCCAGAAGGCTATGAATGGGATGAAATCAGCCTGGGGTTCATGGGTGGTTACGTGGCTCAGCTGACCCTGGGGAACGAGATTATCTGCGGGCGTCTGAGTGGACCGACGGAATCTGTATTATCTGGAATCAGCCCTTCAAAAGTGAGACCGGTGACAAAGGGACAGAAATGAGAAGCAGAAGGAGCCAGCAAAGAGAGAAGGACCTTGGTCTTCTAACCGCAAGCAAGGAACTGGATTCTGCCATCAACCTGAACGTGCTTGGAAGTGATTCTTCCCCGAACTCTCAGACAAGAGCCTGCTTGGCCAACACTTGGGTTTTGGCCGTGGACTGAAGACAGAAGCCAAGTGGGCCCAGCTCAGTGGCTGACCAATAGTGCTGGGAGTTATAAATGGATGTGGTTTTAATACTTATTTATCACGTAGCAAAAGCAACCCAACAAGCTCACTGTATACAAAGAAACTGTGGTGCAGAGAGGCTGAGTTTTGTCTGTGGCCACAGCACTAGCAAATGGCCAATGTGGGACTGGAACCAAGGTCTCTTCCCTTTGAACTGTGCCATCTTTTCTCTTTATCCCAACTGGGGTGCAGGATGGAGGAAGCCCTGCACTGGGGAGACTCTGAGGGCAAGTGTGTGGAAGATCATGAGCTCCGGAAGTGGGACAGACCTAGGGACCCTCTTTCCTGGGAAGGCTGGGGACCAGAGAGCAGGCAGGGATCAGACAGAGGCTGGCAGTGGGGCTGAGGCTGTACAAAGCCGGGCTCAGCCCAGGCCCGGAGGGCCCCGCACTCACCCTCGTTGTTCCGTCTGTCCGTCCGCATGGAAGAGCACTAGCTGCCCCTTTCGGTCGTGGCCCACGGCCGTCCTGGCCGATATCACGTTCACAAATTTGCTGAAGGAGCCTGAAGGAGAAGCAGCCTGGCTAACTCCTGGTTCTGACACTCTGCCAGCTCATCTACCACTCCACCTGCCGGTCCACACCCCACCAGCTCTGCTGGATGCGGTAAGAGCCTCTTCACCGGCCTCCCCTCTGCCCCATCCCAGACCAGGCTCAGTGCAGCAGACAGACCCTCCTGCTGGAAACTCTGGGACGGCCTTCACCACTCTTCCACTCTTCCCCAGCACCGGCCTGGCCCACTTCTCCTACCTATGTCCCCTCACCACCCACAGAGCCACCTTCGGGCCTTTGCTGAACCCCACTCCCCCAGGCTCTCTGTATAACTTCCTTATCTCAGTCACCCCCTTAGCGAGGCCTCCCCTGACTGTCAGCCAATGGAGCCTGTTCTCTGCCCTAGGACTCCCCACCCCAGTGGCTGTCAAACTTGAGGGGCCATCCCAGTCACCCAGTCGGCTTGTTATGACCCAGATTCCTGGGCCTCACCCCTAGGAGCCCTGATTCAGGAAGCTTGAGGTGGGGCCTGAGGCTGCATTTCTTTTTCTTTTTACATTTTCTGGGGAACATTTTATTGTGTTTTCAGTGAAAGTTTACATAGCAAATTATTTTGCCAATCAACAGTTCATACCCAGGTCGCTCTGAATGAGACACTGGCAGCAGTGTGCCAACACTCTCCTCCCTGGGCCCCCCATTCCTGGTCTGGTTTCCAAGTCCCTTCTTGCCTTCTCATCTTTGGTTTTGGGCAAACGTTGTCATTTAGGTCTCCCGGAGCTGACTGTTCTAAGGAGCACTTTCTTCCTGGGTGTTACTGTTTATTTACAGGCCTGGCTATTAACTGCCTGAAAGGTGGCCTCCAGGAGTGTCTTCAGTTTCAAGTTGTCTTAGGGCCACAGTCCTGGAGGTTCCTCCAGTCTGCTTCAGATCAGTAAGTCTGATTTTTGTTGTTGTTAGTTTGAATTTTGCACGGTGTTCACCCATTCTAAATGGGACCTTCTATTGTGGTCCTTCTAGAGTGGTCAGAAGTGGTAGGTGGGCACCACCTAGTTCTTCTGGTCTCAGGCTATAGGAAGCTGTGGTTCGTGTGGGCCATTCGTCCTGTGGACTAACGGCTTTCTTAAGTCATTGGTTTCCTCTATCTCCTTTGCTCCAGATGGGAAGAGACCAATAGTTGCCTCTCAGAAGGTCTCTCGCAAACTTTCAAGACCCTAGATGCTACTCACCAGACCAGAATGTCAAACATTATCTTTATGGAGTGAGCTTTGCCAACTGACTGAGATGTCCCCCAAGGAGACTGCCTATTTCACAAGCCCCAGGGTGAAGCAGGCTATGGCCATTTATCAGCACTTCCTCACTCCCACACCCATGCTCCCTGCCCTCTCTCTCCCCCCACCCCACTCAGCAGCTGTACAAACAGCTTTCCTGTCTTAACGACCATTTCCTTTCAGTATATTATTCGTGTCCAAGTTACACATCTATCCCTCCTCTCGTTTACACATTCCGGGAGCACATGAGCCTTCTCTGTCTCAACCTCCAGCTCCTAGAAGGGTGCTGGGCACAGAGCAGCTACTCTAGAAATAGTTGCTGGAAGACTTGAGAGTGGCTTCCCCACCATCCCCGTTCCTGGCTCGCCGCCCCCGAGACACACCTGTCTCCTGCGTCTCATCACACTCGGTAGCCAGGCTCTCGTTGATGTAGAGGCTCCCATTGCGAAGCAACCACACCACCCCGCTCAGCAGCTGCACAAACGGATTCGTGTTGTCCAGCACCTCCTCCTCGGACAGGTACCTGGACACGGGAAAGGTGTGAGGGCTGCTCACCAGCAGGGGCAGCTGTGAGTTATGGGGCTCCCCTCCACCGACAGCCTGGCTCCTTCACTTCCTCTTCTGGTACTCCACAAACCTGCCTGGTCAGAACTAAGGCTCACAGGACTGAAGTCACGCACAGGGCCCGGATGATAACCCCCCCCACACACACCTTTGTAAACACTTGAGCGCTTCCCAGTCTACGCTTCCGCTGATGCCAACAACCATCTCGCCACATCTCCCAGTCATCCATTGCCGTCAATATCCCTGACTGTCATTCTAGCCAAACCACCTGATGCCTCTAACAGCTTCTTAATTGGCCTCCTTACTTCTTCTCCAGTCCCCTCTAACCAATTCTCCAACCGGGACCAGAGCAGGCTTTTCAATAATCACAGCCAGTCCTGTCACCTTCTGAGACTGCTCCTTCTCTGAGTCCCTCAAGCACACCAAAGCCCCTGCACCCTGGGCCCTTCCACCAGCTCGTTCCTGCAGATCCACATGTGCTCCCTGCAGTTCTGATCCTGCCCCGTGAGTAATCCTCTAGTCTCAACTCAGATCTCCTTCTCACAGAGGCCTTTCTTGATTCCCACCCCTCTGCCTCAAAAATAAACAAAAACCACTGCCATCCAGTCCATTCCAACTCATAAGGACCACACAGGACGCAATAGAACTGCTCCATAGGGTTGTCCAGGCTGTACTCTTTCTGACTGCTAACCAGAAGGCTGGCGGTTCAAACCCACCAGCCACTCCCCGGAGGAAGGTCGGGTAATCTACTTCCGTAGTGATATGGCCTCGGAAACCCAAGGAGGGTCGCTATGAGTTGGGTCCAACTCGACGGCACTTAACAACAACAAGAACTCTTTATGTAAGCAGACTGTCACATCTTTCTCTCTCGGAGTGGCTGGTGGGTTCAAACCACCAACCTTGGGGTTAGCAGCCCAGTGCTTTAACCACGACGTCACCAAGACTCCGCCTCTCTCCTGATCACCATTCCTCAAATCTACACTGTGCTTGGCTGCACTTGCACAATCGCAACTCATCTCAATGATTCATCCGGCTCTCGTTTATCTTCCCTAGTCGTGGGCGCTGGTCACTGCCACAGCCCCAGTGCCCACATTACCTGGCCCAAAGCAGTGCGCAGCGACGCTGGTTAGCAACCACCTCTGCAAAGAAGGTATTAGGACCTGCATTTTGCAGATGAGGAAACGGAAGCTCAGGCAGCAACCGAACTCTCCGGCCCTGCGCCCCTCTGCCCCCGCCAGGCCCGGGGCGCCCTTCCTCCTCACCCGGTGACCAGGGTCCCGTCGCGGCGGATTCCGAACTGCGCGTTCTGCAGCCCCCTGGAGTTGCTCACCCGCAGCCCATCGCTCACCACGTTCCCCAGGCACTCGCCGGTGTCCATGCGGAAGAAGCCGCCGTTCTGGGCCGCAGAGCAGCCCGCCGTCCGCGCCGTCTCCTCCACGGTGGCGCGGCGCCGCGCCGCGCAGCCGCCGGGTCCACCCGGTTCCAGCACCGAGAAGGTGCGCAGGGGCGCGGCGACCCGGGTCAGGTGGCCGGCTACGGCGCGCCCAGCGAAGTGCGAGACGAAGGTGCGCACGGCCGGGCTGCCGGCGCCGGGGGCCGCGGGC